AAAAAAAAAAAAAAAACTGCTTAGAAAACAGAATTCAAGACAGGCTGTTCTTATACAAGCACTCTGTATAAAAAGTTTAGGTGAGTATATATTTCTTTTACCAGGTACACATCCATAATGTATAGAGTCTGCTATGCGATCACTATTGACTTATGAACCACCGGGCATATGCAGAACTTCGTGGTATAGAATTTCTGTAGGTATACCAAATGTCCAGTGCCTCTAGTTATTCTGTTGTTCTGGATATCAAGTTCTGTGTCATTCTCTCATTCACTTGCTAGTGCAGCTCTCATTTCAGAATTGCGATGACCTGCCCAAAAACCAAGCATTTTCCTGTACATTGTGCTAAGCTGATATTAGTAGGAAATTTATGAAAAGTATTGTTCCTTCCACTAACATGAAGTTTAATTTGCAATTCAGTGGAAGCATAAACACAATGTCTAATAGATAGTGAACCACAAAAACATTAAGCAAGCTAGACATTTGAACAGAAAGGCCATGAAGGATCAACGCCAGGTCAAATCAAGCAAAACAAAGTCTTATTGGACCTTGTCCACCCCTTCAAAATAAAAAAAAAAAAAGTATGCTCAAAAGGACTTCTGCAGCAAGATTTCTAATGTTTGAGCAATAAAATTTATTATGACCCTTTGACAGTAATGTTCAATAAATTACTAAAAGGAAAAACAGAAAGACAAGAAAGAAAAATAGTGGCTACTATGGAGATTTCATTATTATAGATAAGAATATCCGCTGTGGGTTACCCTGCTGAGCTTAAAGGATACATTATAGCAGATGGCATTTTCTCTATTATAACTACGACCTTCAGATGGTAATTAAGTGCCCAAAGAAGATACACACACAACAAAAATAAAATAAAATCATTATGTTCTGCCATTAGATGCGACAGACTATAGCATGTTTCCTTTACCACCATAACCCACTCTTCCTTCCCCACTATAGACCACAATGATTGGTAACAAAATTTGGAGAGAGAAAAATTCATAACATAATCCTAAGGGTTTGTAATTAAGATTTTATTTATTTATTTTATGGTGCACCCTTCATAAGTATTGGGGAGCGAGCTTGCACTGGCTGCTATTCAAGATCAAGACAAAGCTAGATTTATAAATGAAGATATGAATCAAGATCTAGGAAAAGGAAACATTTATCCCACAGGAAAGAATTAAGTCAATAAAGAGAATTAAGATGCCTCTTTACAAAGTTGGAAGTGATATCATATCACTCAACCTTAGGAATGTGATGAGAATACCACACAGTTGCATCAGTTGCTATTATAAACAATGAGAACTGAAATAGTTGGCTTAATCTACAACCATACCCAAAGCCATCTCAACAAGAAGTAAAATAACTAGAGCAAGGAGCCATGCCTGCATAATCAAGATAGTTAACTATGTCGAAATTAAAAGACATTGAAATGAAAATTAAATAAGAAAAAAGAAAATAGCAATTAAAGAATAAAAGAACCACTCAATTGCTTTCTCATAAATTTCTTGTCAGTAAAAGACTTCCAAACAACATAGCTCTTATTGGTCAATCAAATTTCTTGACAGTTGCTCAAAGAAATTAGTAAATGGAAATTTTTGAAGCCTTGTAAGCGTATTGATGGTTACTTGTATTCTTGCAAGAATTTAGGAGAGAAAGAGAGTTACTTGTATTCTTGACAGTTACTTGTATTCTTCCAAAATGTATGGCATTAAGAAAATTTTACTACCATTCAATCCAAGTTCTCTAGATGTGGGAACCAATTCAAGCTCTTGTAGAATTTCCAATAGAGAAAACTCAAATTCATCCACAAGAGCCTAAGAATTGAAGCAGTTTTAATTCAACAACACAAAATAGTTAACTAATGCATTTAGTTGTACTACCTTCTTAAGGAAACTAAAACCCTAAAATTGGAGTTAATCAATGAGTTCATGTTTTTCCACATACTCGTCGTACACCTAACCTAATCATTATTAAAATGCCTTTATTCTCATTGTTAATAGGTCTACAGTTTGAAATGTCCAATTAAGATGCGACGCAGAGAGACAATAATGTGTTTGGTTATCTTGGAAACGACTTTACTTGGAAATGACTTTAAAGCAATAGAATCATCTAGTAGCATATGCTGATCATCTTTGACAGTAAAAAATATTTAATGAAATTGTTGCTTCAACTTTCAGATTCATTGAAAATGATCTTGGCTTTGAGTCACATCATCATCACTTTCTACATCTTTTAATTTTGTGAATGCATTACACTCTTAAAACTTTATTTAGATGCGTTTTATATAAATGGTAAAATTAATATCACATTTCTCTAATTGATTAAGTAACTAACTTCAATCAAATATGAGTTCAGGGTATCCTCAATTGAAAAATGCAAAAATTATATTATCATAACAACTTCAAAGCTTTCTCAATCAGAGGTTATGAGATTTATTGTTCGCGTCAATTAATTTCTTAAAGAAGAACAAGAAGAAGAAAGCGTTGCTATTGATTCTAATCGTATCTAAGGTCAAGAGCAAGGCTCACAGACTCTTAGGTTTCAGGAGAACCTCAGTTTACGGCAATCTCCATCATCAGCGGTGCATTTTGTAGTCATTGCTCATAGAGTCAGTCCATTATTGTGAGAAGTATGCTGTTGAAATTTTTTTACTACGTAGTTCCAAATTTAAATTTTTCGCCCCCATGTAATCCAAATTCAGTAAATATTTTCTCAAAACTGCAGTTCAAAGCTTCTCAATCATGAGTAACACTCAATGAATACGCAGCAATATTGGCCATTTTTTCATATCAACAGTCTCAGCTCCAATAAGTAATTGTCTATCACTGCAAATCAAGACCTCTCATATAATTTAGTAAAACAATACTTTAAAGTTCCTACCAAGAACTTAATTTAAGAGCAAAGACAACTAATCAAGACCTCTCATCCTATATTTAGTATAACAATACTATAAGTTCCTAAAATAACTTAATTTTATGAGCAAAATGTTTGATGCCCTTGTTCCAGCCACTCTTCACATTACAATGCAGATCCATACGAACGCAACAAGTACAGAAAGAACAAAAATAACCAATATTTTCCCTATAATATTTACTTGTCAAGAGGATATTGATCAAAATTGATTTAAAAAAATAATCTATAGCAAGGAAAATTTTCGCCCTGATGAATTGTTATGTTCTGATTTTTGACAGCATAGAGACAAAATTGGATGACAAAACAATCAGAAACAAGACCCATAATAAACTCATCTTCAGTTTCATAAATAGCATACACATATCACCTAATTAATAACATCCACAGCAAAAAGAATAATACAAACAAACAAAATTCAAACAATTATCAGAGAAAATATAGATAAAACAGAGCACAAGAAGCTTAATTACTTACCATGAATTGATCGAGCTCCTTATCATCGCCAATGCTACCATGGCCGAGACCCGAATACTTCCCCACCACGTGCTGCGATTGAGCGAGCTGAGCGTCAATCCTCGGCAACTGATCCACCGGTGTTGCGATACGCAAGCACGCAACATGAGCCGATAACAACTGCTCGTAAAGCGGATGCGCCAGAATTTCAGATTTGAGCCTAGCACTCTGCCAATTCATAACTCCCTCGCCACCACGAACATCGCTCCCTGTTATCTCTCCTCCATTGTTCTCCACTTTATTGTTGTTCAAATCAGCCGATTCGTGCGATATCGCCGCAGCAGCCATCATCGAATCGTTCGAGACCTGCACTTCGTTGCGCTGAAGAATTGATCTCGAGAGCCACTGATTCGACCCTTGCTGCTGCTGCTGCGACGTGGTCGTCGAATCGGAATTGGTGTGTAAATTGAGGAAATTACCGTCACCGTACTGGTTCTGCTGCCGGAGAGTCGCGCTGTTAAGCCATGTCGGTCCAACACCGACTTGTTGTGGTGGTTGTTGCGGAGGTTCGTGGTCGTGGCTCGGTGTAGAGAGAGAGATATAGATAGAGAGTCAGAGAGTGAGAAAGAGGGTGAGATTGGCCATGCATGGAGAGGCAGATGTGTTCTGTGTGTGTATGTGTATGTGTGTTCCGATGGGCTCTGTTCTCATCCCCCTCCCCCATGCACACCACCTTTTTTATGTTGCTGTCCCCAAGTCGAGAGCTCTCTCCGTCCCTCATGCTCACAACCTTGCTCTTTTATCATCGAACCGAGAGAGAGATAGTGAAGGTAGTTTGAAGATGGCGGCACTGGTGCTAGTTAGGCTCATTGGGTTGGTCTGGTTTGGTAGCTACATGAGCATTCATGGTTGCCCACGAGAGAGTGACAGACTCTAATGGAGGTTATGGCAGGACAAAGCAGTTGAGAGAGAGGGTTAGAGAGAGAGCCCCCCCGGAGCCAGTAGAGTAGAGAGAGAATGAGAATTTCAACTTTTTCCTCAGATAGCTCTGAAGGGTTAACTCCTCACAGAAGTTCAAATACATTAGGGAGTTTCAACGATTGGGAGGAAATTCAAGGAGTTGTCCTCCTCTGAATTCAATCACGTCATCTTGTTCCTCTCCTGTTGTTATGGCTAATGATTCAGATTTGACCTCCCCTGCGAGAGCTGACCCTGGATCAGAGTCACATGCAATGCTTCCCAAGGAGGATCATCATCGGCATTCATCCCCTCCCAGTGTACTGCAGGAGGGAGTTATGGATTGTGAACTTTATGATCAGCTTGAACAAGCTAGGCGAAGGAGTCTCCGGGGTTCCAGGATTCAGGGGACGGAGAGAGCGAGTCGGCGCCGATTTCAGGGGCCGGAGTCGGAGATGTTGGGGAGGAGCTGGTTAGGGACCATGATTGAGACCTGGAGATCGGCGGTGGTCTCCGGCGACTGAACAGTAGGTTGAAGAAAGGAAATTTCAAGGTATGTGTAGAAAATTCGAGCGGACTAGGTTGAGGTCCGGCGGGCGACTAAGGTGAGGTTGCCGCCCGCCGGGAAAACGAAAATATTAGGTTCTAAACCTGCTCTGATACCATGTTAAAATTGATGTATTATTGATTGATGTAATGTTATTGTGTATATTACAAATGGTGGGTGGCTCATTATATAGGAGAGGGTGAGTGTAGTAGGTGAGAAGTAGGTGGTGGTAGGTGATGGTAAATTTTAACAATGTGTACTAATTGAGCGTTGTTTTTTGTAACATGGTATCAGAGTTTTGGTTAAGAGAGGTCTTGGGTTCAAGTCTCTTAGTTGACATTTGGTATTTTGTCCGTATTTGGTTTCTCCCTTTTTGTTTTGTTGTTTACTTCTCCTTCTATTTGGTTCTCTATTTGTTTCTCCACGTGCAAGACGGGGTTGCACTTGAGAGAGGCTGTTAGATAGCTTGATATACATTGTTGGGCCCATTTCCTAATAGCTTAGGCATTTGAGAAAATTGGTAACTTAACACTAAAGGTGGTAAAAAAGAAAAAGAAAAAATTTATTCATGTGCCAACATTTTTTTAAATGTTTCTCATATTGACATGCTGTTGAAATGTTTGTTGACAAATTGATGGATGATGGTTCCTTGTATTGTTATTATAGTTGTTTAACTTTTCAATGTCAATGTCATGATTGACATTAAATAAATTGCGAGTATTTGTAGAAAATTACGAGTTAAATAAATTACAATAGCAATATCAATTTGTTGCATGATTTCTTTTCCCTTTCCTAAGTGAGAATTGCTTGTTGATGGCTTCCTGACTTGTTTATGGGTATGACTTCGATAAGTTTTATTACAAATATATATATTGAACCGTATAACATTCCTTGTTTTTTGAAATAAAATATTAGTGGTTAATTTCATCTAATCATCAATGTCAACCGTGTGGAACTGCTCTAATATGTACTGATGTTGATTGCATTTTGTTCTTTGAAGGGATTGGAAATAAGCAAAGAACCATGAAATGGAATAACAGGTACACAATACATGTCTTGTTCTTGAACTTTATGTTCTCTCTTATTTATTTGTATGTATGCTTCTTGAACTTGTATTCACTAGTTAATTGTTTCAAATATATTCTTCAAATTTGCATAACAGTCATTCTCTATTTTTTTCACCTTCATTCTCTTCGTCTCTTTCACTTTCCAATGCCGACCAGTACTCCATTGCCCTCCATAGCCATCACCCACCCCTTCTCCAACCTCCACAACCACTATCACCGCTATGGAGGGCAAGAGAGTAGTGGTCGGCATTGGAAAGTGATGGAGACAGAGAGAATGAAAGAGAAAAATAGAGAGGACAAAGTGCAAAAGTGGGAGATGAGGTGCAGGTCCGTGTGTAGGGTGGTGGTAGACAAATTGATTTTATTAGAAACAAAAATAAAGGGCGATGGGAAAGATGGAATTGGGGTTGACAGTGGTTGGAGAAGGAAGGCAACGGTTATGATGGGTGAGGGAGTAATGGTCAACATTGGAAAGCGAATGAGACATAGAGTCCATCACCGTTTCTTTCTCTCTCTGCCTCAAGCTCATTTCCTGGATCGTATATGCTCTTTCATTGCTTGCCATTTGCATCTGCAATTGCACTCGACCACTGTGAACCCCTAAGGCTAATCCTGTAGTACAGGATTGTCATTTAGGTTGCTTTTTTCATGGATATTAATTATTAGCTGCTTTGGGTCACATATTATACTATATGTTTGTGGCCACTGTTAGTGCAGGACTAGTACTACTTAAACTTACATGGATAGGATTTGGGAGTTTTAATTTCCTGCGGTAAGTATGCTATTTGTAAAATTTTCAAATTTCAGGATCTGGAGTCTGAAATTCATTTGTCTACTTTTCCTTTTCAACTCACTTTATGATAAATTGTGGTAACTAAGAGATTGCATTGACTGTTCACAAGAAATGTGCATGTGATCCCAAAAGCAATATTATTAATGCAATTTTTGGTGAACATTCTAATTATTTAGGTTCGATTATTAATAAGCATGATGAGGTTGGTTGGAGGTGCTATGATTTATAGAATCAAAATATGTTGGCTCAAGTGAAAGAGTACTTTTGGCATATTATGTAATCCATGTGAATTTACTTAATTAATCAAGAATATAAACATTGATAGAGTAGAATGGTGAAAAAAAATTTATGTTGTCGACTTCATTTGAATGAGACACAAGCCTTATTTTAATTTGGTTTGGTGATGGCGCATATTCAATATATGAATTCTATCAAAACAAGAAAAAACCCAAAAGAATAGAGGAAAGAATTCAAGTATCAAATCCCACTGCACATGTTGTTACCACTTTTCAAAATGAAGTTAGAATATGTTATTGAAGGTCAGCACCTCCTTCTTCCTACGTAATCTTTGAGTATATATTTGGTACTTCACATGAACATGGTGCTGGTATCACAATTTGTAAGTATTAACAAAAAGCCCCAACAAACAATGAAGTTTCTGCAGTTGGACTATGTGTACAAATGCTTTTATTTGCTCACAAACATCTTTAAAATGTTTCTCATGTTCAAACATGAAACGCTGTTGAAATGTCTGTTGACAAATTGGTTGATGATGGATCCTTGTATTGTTATTGTAGTGGTTTAACTTTTCACTGTCAATGTCATGACTAGTAGAAAATTACAAGTTAAATAAATTACTCTAGCAATATCAGTTTGTTGCAGGATTTCTTTTCCCTTTCCTAAGTGAGAATCTCTTGTTGATGGTTTCTCGACTTGTTTATGGATATGACTTTGATATATTTTCACATACAAATATATATATTGAATGGTGTAATATTCCTTATTTTTTGAACTAAAATATTAGTCGTTGATAATATTTAATGTCAACCATGTGCAACTGCTATAATTTGGTACTGAAGTTGATTACATTTTGCTCTTTGAAGGGATTGGAAATAAGCAAAGAATAATGAAATAGAAGAACACGTACACAATACATGTCCTGTTCTTGAAGTTTGTGTTTTCTGCTTTGTATTGTATGTATGCTTCTTGAACTTGTATTCACTAGTTAATTGTTTCAAATATGTGCTTCAAATTTGCATAACAGTGCTTTTTGATTATATTGATTTACAATGTGTTAGTTGCATTTAGTTTTCTTTTAAATTTGTAAAGCATTTCTTCCATTGTGCAACATCATCTATTTCTAACTGAATTATAATAAATATGGATGCATCTCGTAGTGTTTTTTCATTTGAATAACATCTCATTTTTCATTTGGTAACCCAAGCTCCTTGAATCTCAGTTTGCATGGCTGGATGCTGATATTTGCCATTAAAGTTGTGCAAATATTGTAAAAAATTGAACTCTCTCTTTTGAAGTACCGGCGTAGTCTATAAACTAATATGCAATTCAATAGGATTATACATAGTGGCTCACAAGGCTAACTAACAACATAATCTATATCTAGGTGAGTATGAGATGGATAAATTAACTTACCAACCAGCCTCTGATATCGCTCCCTGTCAAATGAATCTTTAGTTTCATCCCCTAACATGCAATTCTGCTCCAACATGGTATCAATAGCTTTATACCCATGCACACTTTGTCCTTAAGAAGGTCCAAAACATATGTTCTTAGTGAGATAAACACACTATTTGAGATGTTGCAACGTCAATACTCAAGAAGTACTTCAAGTTTCGAAAGTTTTTTTATCTCAAACTCCTTAGTAAGATAGCTATTCAACTTCTGCTTTTCTATAGATCAAATATCATCAACACACACAAGGAGTGCAGTAACCTTGTTTTCATGTTAAATAAATTGGGTATAGTCATCTTGACTCTGTTTGTAGCCACACCTAAACATAGCCCAAGTAAACCTCTCAAATCATGCTCTAGCAAACTTTGTAGGTGAAAGAGTACTTTTGGCATATTACACTAGCAATATCAGACTTTGTTGCTTCAAATTTGCATAACAGTGCTTTTTATTTGCCATT